AATACAGAGTAAAATCTGTTTTGAACATGAAAGTTTTTTAAATTATTCATAGAAATGAAATTGTTAGTTACTTATTAATGGTACTCACAGGCCTGTGCAATCACTTCAGTTACTAATTCCCACTGGTTTTTGGTACTAGGTGAGAAATTTGGAAGCAGATAGGGAATTAAAATAAAATCATCTGTCCTGCTTGGTGCCATCAATAGTGTTTATGTCACTTTGAGCAGCAGAACCAACACAGGCCTCTTTCTTAGTTAGGAGTCTAACAAGAAACAAGCGGAACCTCAAAACCATTGGCACAATCATAGAATCGTTCCAGTTGGAAAAGACCTCTAAGATCACCTAGTCCAACCATCAACCCATCACCACCATGCCCACTAAACCATGTCCCTAAGTGCCACCCTTCTTCTGCACACCTCCAAGGATGGTGACTCCACCAGCTCCCTGGGCAGCCTGTGCCAGGCTCACCACTCTTTCTGAGACAAAATTGTTCCTAGTATCCAGTCTGAACTTCCTCTGGCACACCTTAAGGCCATTAATTCTCATCCTATTTGTTGTATCAATTTCTGATTTATTTTTTTTTAAAGCTTTATAAAATTGTAAGATTATTTTACGTTGTAACGAATGGATCCCATTCACAAGTACACGCATTGATGTATGCTTGCAGACACAGCCCCCTTTCTCTGAGACCTCCACTTTGGCTGAACACGAGGCAGGTTCTGGGTACCTTGGAAACAAAGTTGGCTTTGTGGCTCACTTGTTCAGGCATGGCTCTGCAGCTGCTAACCTAGAGGTGGCACATGTCCTAGGAGACCTACCAGTCTGTAGCACATACCTTCATTTTGCTGTCTCAGTCCTGCTTCAGTCACTTACCTGGACTGAAGTAATCTTTTGGCTCTACTGGTAAAGATCTATCCCAGGGTATGTTATGCCATAATTCATAATTCAGCTTTTTCTTTGATAACGATATGAGTCTGGACTCAATGTGAGGACTGATAAAATGAAGAGAACTGATTGGTAGTAGATGGCCTTTGGGCTTTTAACAATTTCATTCACATTTGAAGACCGTATTTAGCAACATCAAAGGAGAGACAGATCTTTGAATATGCATATCTTTGATGGATCAAACCATTGCTATAGGCACCAGAAGGAAAATACTGCAAGCACAGTAAGTTTCAAGAACTTTGTGCAGATGGTTCCCTTCGGATTATTTTTTTCCTGGTCTGTTTTGTACATTAGAAAACTAGATAAAGCTTGCCCAATATTTATACAACTGTATTAGCTGAATAGTGCATATAGTAATATAAGCTTTTTCAGTTGGTTTCCTGTAATCAAAATACACAGAAACCCAAGTTTTGTAATCTTTTACTAATGTGGTTTCTCTCCTAAACAGGAAAAGAAAATAAATTTTGCCAGTAGCAATCCCAGCCCCCTCTGTGAGCAGATGACACCAAAGACAGAAAATGCACAGAACTCCTGGAGAACAGAGAAGCCCTAAGAAAACTTTTCCTGTGCTGCCCGTGGATAGCTAGCTTTATGCTAACACTATGAAAAAGTCTCAGCTGCATTTCCTGTAAGCAATAACAAGATCAGTGCTTGTAATCTGCAGTGGAACAGCAATGATAGCACAAAAGCTTTACATGCTCTTAAGTATATATCTAAGTAACTGTGGATGAGTAAACAACTTGCTGGTCACCTAGTTAGCTTTTTGAGGACCAGAGAGCTGTTTCAAATAATGTGTTTTGAAGATTTGCAGCTAAACTGCAGATCTGAGCTCTGACCTTGGGATTATGACATACTGATGCTTTCCCATCAGTCACAACACCTTGGGAATGCTAGGTGTGGTTATGTGTGGTTTCACTATGATTACAATGATTTCCAAAATTAAGTTCTGGGTAGAAATCTTAAGTTCTAAATATGCCACTTTTTTTGCATCAAATACATCTCTCTCCTAAAGTGTGCTAGGAGTTCTCAAATGGAACCCATAGAGTGTGTGAGTCTTACTTTCTAATGCCTGAAAACTATGAAATCTGCAAAGAAATACTTTTTTACTTAATAAGTAAATAACGTAAGTAAATACTAAAGTAAGTAAATACTTATTTACTTACAGTGAAGCCATTGGCTGACCCAGTAACAAAAACTGTGACAAGAGACCCCTATACAAGGGGAGATCTGAGCTTGGTGCTGTCTGGCTCCAGCTGATGCCTGGCCCCTTTGGTGATGCAGCACAAGAGATTTCTGCTGCATAGCTCTGTCCATCCTGCTTGAAACTGTCAGATACCCACTGCTCGTGAACCTTGTCTACATGGGTCATGTTTATAACAAGAGGAGGACTCGTGCTTGTCATACTGCCCTTTTCTCCCGAGCTTCCTTCATCTCCTCACGCTGGAGCATGAACCCATGTGACATTTCCCAGAACAAACATGCCTGGCTGTTCTATCCCTGTTCCTCTGCACACTGCCTGCTTTCAGCCTGGCTGCACAAGCCCCTCATGCCACTGCATCACCACAGCCTTCTGCATGGTGAGTAGCAGCACAGGGTGGCCCACACTGCAGTGTTTGCTTTTTTTCTAGCATTAGGTGTGACAGGGTGTTTCCTAGCAGTTGCTTCATTATTAATGTCAGATGCCATAGCCTTTGTTGCTCACTAACTGCAGAAACATCTGAGGGAGCAGAGTATTTGCTGAGGAGGAGTTGGGGACATCATAGTGTCATAATTGTAGTATAAGATCCAGATATGAGAACAGCAAAATAATAAATACCAAATTGGAAAGTACAAAAAAACATTGTTTAGGAGATTCTCTATGAGATCATTTGTCTTTCCTCTTCTCAACTTTCAGCAGGAACAGTTCTGCTGAAAGTCTCCACAAAAATTTTCCCTTCACAAGCTATAGGTTCCCAGGGCACTTACTGTCCAGGAAAGTGATCATAAATAAATAAATAAACAAAACCTCTAATTCATATACATGAGGATCTTCTATTCACCCTCCGAACAGAGACAGGAACTTCTATATGCAAGCACTGTGAATATCTCCAGCTTTTTTGATAGGTTTGTCTCCACAGTGATCCTACTCGAGCCTGAGTCAAGATTGAAGTCAGTGCTCATCACACTGCTTCTGCATTTGTCATGGCCCAAAGGGGATAAAATGTAGTTCAGATCACTTTGAAAGTCAGATCCAAAATCCTTTTAAAACCTGTCACTTTAAATTGGAGCTATCAGTAAAGAGAATTAACATTTGTTGAGACAAATCTATAGCTTTCAGAGTCTGTTTTGCTCTAGGATGTCTGTTGCAGTGTTGCATTTCCTCACATTTGGAGCGCGCCCCCTCAGCACTGAGGTGGCTGCAGACAGCTGTGAATGAGAAGGGTTGAGAAAGGGTAGAGCAGAATGTGGGGTATCTGCAGTAGCTGAACAAGTTGCGTTCTTCACTCAGATGCCAACCAGATGCCAGGCAGCACAGGGTGTTTTCTCTTCATTGTACTGTAAATGTTAAAAAGCACTCACTCCCTACCAGACACTCACCCCTCACCACTGGCTGTTTTACCTCTTGCCTCCTGTCCCTGGGAGCTGAAACATTTCATCCTTTTTAGAAGACACATCTTGTTGCTTTTATCAGTGACACCACTCCTGTCGCTCCTCACCAATATGTCCACAATGTCACAGCGAGCAACTAAGAAAATAATGACTTTCAGATCATTCATAGCTCTGCAGCACTGGAGGAATAATGCCATAAAAGGGCAAGCTGTACAAGGTGGCCCTGCTGTGTTGCTCAAGCTCAACCTGGGGCTCACTACTGGTAGTTCTCCTCATGCTCCCTGCTGTGATGCCTGCACAGCCCACCCCATCTCTGTGTGAGGGGATTGGGTCAGGGGCCAGAGTCCCCCCTACACCAACCCTGCAGTCAGGGCTTCCCCCGCAGGGGAGTCATAGATCATAGAATCATTTGGTTTGGAAGGGATCCTTAAAAGACCATCTAGCCCAACTTCTCTTCAATGAACAGGGACACCTACGAATACATCAGGTTGCACATTGAAAGTGTTTCCCTTTCATTTGTTGGCTTGACAACCTAATTTTTGGCTGAATATCACATTTTAAGTACATGATTACCAAATCTACAGCTGAATGGTATTCGTAGTTCACACTAGACCTTCCCACATAGAAGCAATTTGTATTTCAGTCAGGGTAGAAGATATGGTGTATATGCAACAAAACTGCTGGAGGCAGGCTGAGAAAACATAAATGAGCTTCATTTCTGTTGCTTTCAGGTTGCTTCCTTACAATCTCTTCAGTTCTTATTTACTGTAATCAGCTTCCATCTGATGGCAATTTGTAGGTAATTGTGCACTACAGTTTGTTCAGTATTCACAGCAAAACTGCATCCTTCTGAAACCTGAAGTGAACCTCCGCAAATGCTTGAGCTCCAGAAAGATGAAAAGGTCTCAGCCCAGGACACTCATTGTGCTGCTCAAAGAAAAGTACAGGGGCAGAACACATGGGCACCAGGAGCACAAAGCAGCTTTTTACACTGAGATTATTGCAAAGACAAAGAAGTTCAAAACAGACTGGGATCTTGTACTCTCCCTGCCCTGAGGACTGCCCCAGGGTGGGTCACAGGACTTCAGCATTACCTGCTACAGCCAGGGGAAGTAGGGAAGACCTCCTATGGAAAGCTTTTTTTCCTGGTGGTAGTAAGTGAGAGTGGCATTAGTTTGAGCTCAGCTGGATCAATAAAATCACCCAGGTCCTCGCGCTTCTGGCTTCTCTCCTATCATGCCTGAATAACTCATTAACCTTGCTTTGGCTGTTCTCGTGGCACAGCCCTTTTTGAACTGATAGGGTCCTTCTCTGGAACAGGAATGATGTATTCGTGTTTGTAAAGAGCTGTGTACGTTTATGGCACTACTTAAGTGCTGAACAATAACAAATGTAGCAAAGGTCAACACAGCTGCCAGGCTCAGCATGGCTGCGAGAGATAAGCCCGGCATGAAAAAGCTGTTCATTTTACACTGAGACAGCAGCAGCCTCCCAGCAGACTTGGGAGAGGCTGTCCTGAGAAGAAGTGGAGAAGTGGTATGAACACAGCCTTTGCAGGGGCTGAGCAGCACGGGCTCATCTAGGCAGTGAGTGCAGTCCAGAAGAGGCCTTCTCTGCTGTCACTACTGGATGTTGTAATAGACTTAACTGGTTTAAGTTTTTGGGGAAGGCTGTGACCCAATTGTTCTCTGCCTCCACCTAAAAGGTACTTATTTTCTCTGTATCCTAGAGCACAGATCTCTCATTCGAGAGATAATTGGGGAGAGAGAATTCTGTGTGATAAGCCTGGAGCAAGACTGATCATATTTTGAATTAAACTTTCTTATCTGACAGATCAGCTATTGCCTCTGTCCATTTCTGGTGAATGGGCTCCTTTGCTTTGCAGCCAGCAGTGTTTTAAAGCTTCTTTAACAACCAAAATGCCTAGATCCTTGCACAAACAAACCAACAAAGCCGGTTTGTGTGAAGTCAAATTCTCCACAGAGGTCTGCACACTCTGCCACTGAGAGGCATATATGAAAGCTGCTTTGGAATAGCTAAACCCATTTAAATCCATTAAAAGGCTTCACAATTAAATTTGCATGCAGTCAGAGTCTGTTCTTTCTCTCCCTAGTAGCAGCAGCGAGCCCAGCCGTCTGGAGAACATCAGTTTCTGTGCCTCAGTCTGTCACCTTGGCCTCCACCAGCCGACTTGGTGAGGCAAACCTGGCTGCACCCAGCTGCTGCTTTCCAACAAACCAGCATCCTGATGGTGAAGGCAATGCATATGCAGGTGGATGCCCAGCCTGTCTCAAAGGAGGTTTGTCAGCCACCCAGCAAGTGAAACCTGTGGGGGCTTTGGCTGAACCAGCTGAATTCCCAAAGGCTGCAGGTCTGTGCTTGGGTGAGGCCCAAAGAGATGGCAGGATCTGGGAGCCTTTGGGTAGGGGATCTTTCCCAGACAGTTTGTGGGAAGAGGGCACTGTGGCTGAAGCAGCTTCATGTGGTGGGAAGGTGACAGGGAAAATTCAAAGGAAGTGGAGCATGAATAAAAGGCCAGATGTTGACTGTCATAGCACCTTCAGCAATCGTTGCTCCTCATTAGAGGACTAATGATGCCAGAAGTGTCACGTGGCAGCTCTCTGCAGTAAGAGCCAGAGCATGAATGAGCACTGCCATGCAGATTTAGGGTCCCAACCATCTTTGGGCGCAGAGGATCTTTATCAAAATGGACGGCCACTACGGATGGATAAATTGCCATGGATATGTCTGTCAGGGATAGAAAAATCACATCTTCCCACAGCCACGCAGAAATCCCACTTGTTAGGCAGGTGTCTTTGCTTTCAAACATGGGCCAGTGTCATATGTAACAGCAGCTGTGCGCTCCCAAAAATAATTCCTTGCCACCAGGTTGCAGGAAGACAAAATCAGGCAGCCTGACTCACTTCTTCCTCCCTCTGCTCCAGCCCCAGGGAGTTGCTGTGTGCTGACACCAGCCACAGCTGCCATGAAGAGTCTGGAGCTTTAATCGGTTTCTGATTGAACCTTTCTGCCTGATTCCTGGTGCAGGGCAGGGACACCCCCTTTTCCTGAAAGTCATTTAGGGGAATGCTGAGCGGGTGTTCTTTTCTGGCTGTTCATAGTAGGCTGTTCAAGGTTTCATTCAGGGGAGAAAAATAAACATGGTTTTAGTCTGAAAAACACTAATGAGCAAGGAAAGTTCAGTGACACATCCTGTATTCAAAAACTATGTGGATTTTGAAATCTTAATGTCTTTTTAAAAATATGTCTTTTTTTTCTTCAGAAATATGAATTACCCACTTTGATGTACCCAGTATTTTTCAGAAAGCATTTTATGTGTTTATCTGAGGACATTCGAGTGCTGCTGCTCTCTGTAAGGTAAGCAGTGTTTTCTTCAATCTCTTCAGTGCCCTTTGCCTATATGTATTGCAAGTCCTGCTGATCCAAGTGGATGTGAACACACATCTAGGTCTGGCTGCTAAATTCATGCCGTGCTAACAGTTTGGATGGTTTGTGCTGCAAAATAATCATAGAATCATAGAACCATAGGATAATTTGAGTTGTAAGAGACCCTTAAGGACCATCTAGTCCAACCCCCCTGCTGTGAACAGGGACACTTACAGCTACATCAGGGTGCTCAGAGCCACCTCCAGCCTGACCATGAATGTGTCCAGGGGCATCCACCACCCCTGTAGGCAAACTGTTCTTGTGCCTCACCACTCCTGGTGTAAAAAAAAAAAAAAAAAAAAAAAAAAGTTATTTCTTAAATCCAATCTGATTAATCTAACATGATATAATGCTTATGTTTTGTGGAGTGAGCTGTTCCCACAGGGTTAGCAGAACAGCTCTCTCCTTGTTTGGGCTTCCAGGGGAACAACCAGCTGGAAGGTGATGGATGAGGAGGAGCACAGGTTAGGAGCAGTCAGTAGTGATAGAGCTGGCCCACAGCTGGGAGCCTTGGGTGAGCTGGGAGGAGCTGTAGGGAAAGGGAATTAAAACTTCTGATTGTACATAGCCCCATAGACTCAGTTCATTGCTGAGGGCTGGCTCTTGTACCACAGGAATAAATGCAGGACCTTCACTGGCCTCAGGTATGACCAATGTAGACGTTTTGTGTTTGTTTGCCCACTGTGAGACAATAATACATGTGCTTCTCAGTTTCTTCTCGATTTCCAAATATTTCTAAGAGATCTTTCTTGAACATTTTCTTGTAACAAGATCAGAAACATGCAAAGGATATTTCTTGATCTCCATTTCCTGCTCCTTCTTTTTTAGCTCATCATTTAAAGTGGTTTGTTTTTTGTTTTGCTTTGTCTGTTTTTGTTTTGAATGGTTTTAATATAATTATTATAGCACTCAAGTGCTGAAGATTCTCATTCACATAGCTTAAAGCATACACTGCTGAAGAGCAAGGATGTGATGGTAGAGGTGTTAAATTTCTTTCAATAAGCCAGAAGAAGGATTATTATCCACCAGCTGCTTGGGAATATTGCCAGAACATGCAGTTTTAGCAGAAGAAAGCAAAAAGTGTGTGCTTGCAAGTGTATCTGCAGCTTTGCTCCTCAAATTCTTCAGGCATGGCAATATTACATGTCTAATGAAGTGGCAATTACAAAAGCAACAGTCCTTATTAGTCCCTTTGGCAGTGAGAATAATTCTAGATGATTTTCATCCCGTTCTTTGCAGAGTCCTCTGAAATGCAAGACAAAATTCTCAGGTCTTTCCAATAGCCTCAGGGGAATGAGCCTCATGTCCTGGGTGGGTCCCCTGTGAGGGTCTCTGAGAGGCTGGTGTTTAACTGCCTCTTGAGAGGTAATAATGCTGCTCCTGCAGATACAATTTGCAGGATGTACTACCAAAAAGATGAGAAGAACTGATCCTAGGCTTCGCAAATTGGTACGCTAGGGATTTCTGCTGGGATGGGGAGGGGTCAATTTACACTTCAAACACTGAAGTGTGCCTTTGGATACATTTGCAGAGCTCCTTCAGAAGTTAATAAGGACCGTGAAATTTAAGAAGATACAATTTAGCTTAAATGTGTCCTTCTAACTACGCTACTTATGTGGCTAATCTGTTTTAATGTGCTAACCCAGTTTTTAAATGAGTTTCTCAATGCTTGAGCTGAGGCATCCTAAGGAGAATAGGATGTTGGGAAGCATCTCCCAAATTCTCTTAAAACAAGAAATTAGATTCCAACAAAACAAATCCCAAATCTCTGGAATATTCCAAGGCTGGGAAGAGGGTTTCTGTATCCAACAGCTTTTTTTTTTTTTTTTTTTTTTTTTTTCTTCCTATCTAAGCTACTTTATTCAAAAAAAAAAAGATTAACTCTACTCTTATTGTGTCATAGAGTAAGCTGCTGCACCCGAGCTGTGGGTGGAGTGAAATGGAAGGAAGGTTTTCTTTCTTTTTTTTTTTCTTTTTCTTTTTTTTTTTTTAAAGCAAATGTTTTATCTCTTCCTTGTCAGCAGATTTTTAGCATCAGTAGAAATCTAAAATAAATTCAGAACAATAAAAAGAGCAATGTAAAATGATGACTGAAATAATCAAAGCAGAATCATGATGCCCACTTGCTTTGTCCTGCCTTGTTCTTGAAATAGGTTTATGTGGCACTGGTGTGGGTACTATACAGAAACTCAAGGAGGCATTACAAAACCAGGGCAGAAACAGGAGCATGAACTCTTTTTCCTTTATTTTTGAAAAATATCAGATCAGAGAAAATATTTTAAAGGCGACTTTTGTTATCGTTAGACTTCTTTTCAACTGAGATGATTATGCACCATTCATTCCTCCTCTTCCCCTCTGCCTTTTGTGCCTTGGTTCCTAGGGGGCTGAAAAGCTGCTGCTACCAAAACCTTCCATGAAGAGGATGCAGAACAGCTCTTGCAGCCTTCCAGGTGGTGTATGGGGAAGTGGGAAGAAGCAAAAGAAAGCATCATTTCAAAAGTCTAGTCAGAAATAAAAGGGCTTGGATGCCTGAGCAACCTTTCTGGCTCCCAGTCTCCTTAGCTGTCTGCACCTTCCTGTTTGTGTTTGCCAGAAGCTCTGTTGTTCTTGCTACAGTTTGGCAACTCCTTCCCTTTAAGTACAAGGACCACCACTGAGTCTGCCTGTGTACTCTCACAGAACAGAACTGTGTGATGCCGTAGGATTTTGAGCATAGCCCTGGTGGACTTTGCCTTGCACCACTTTAAAGCCCGAGATAGATGGGTATGATGGCAATGATGAAGTTAGAATTTTTGTGTTAGAAATGAAATCGCCACTTTTGCATTTCTACCTCTAAATGAATTCTTGTCGTTGTATGACAAGGCAGTCAGAAAACGTGCAATAAAGAAAAAAAAAAAAAAAAGTGGGGGGAGATTTCTGGATATTAAACCTGTATAAAAGCAAGTACTTCAGTTAAAGGAACATAATAGGAGAGGAAATCTTTTTTCACATTTTTAGAGAGGTCAGACATTCACTCTTCCTGTTGAGGATGAGTACAGATGAGTAGGTGTGCCATACAGATTGGAAAAACAGTTCTCACTTATACAGAGATAACTGACCATTGACTACTAGAGTTTCAGTAAGCTCCATGCTCAGTCTTATCTTCATGAGGCTTGTTCCTACGTGTGTACTCATGAAAATATCGTGTCTTCCTAGTGCAGCTTGCTAGCTCATCCATGGTCGTGCAATCGACTCACAGTGGTTTCCTCTGTGCGAAGTCAATAGAATTTTTTCAGCTCTATAAAGCTCTGGAGGCTAAAATTACATCTATTATTCTAAAAAGATGGATAGTAGGAGCAAATTAAATATATAGGGTATGTAATACAGTGTTTGACAAAAAAGCACTTAATGAGTCCATCATAAAGCTGGTGGACCTTGGTGCTACTGGAATGCCTTAGTAGCATGGAAGGGAAACTGTGACAATTTTTGTCAAAGAGAGAAATCTGGCCACTTCACTTCTATCACTCAAATAGATTCAGTAAAGTTGATTTTTTTCCCTTAGAAACCAGTTCTGTAGCAGATCCAAACACTAAGCTCACTGATTAACTATTGTCATGCCAAAATTCTAGTTCGCATTTATTTAGTCTGGTGTATCAGTATCTAGCATTGCATTTCAGTGAAGAGCCATAAAATGTAACTACATTTTTTTAAAAAACAGAATTAAAAAATACATAAAAATGCAAACAGAAACTTATTCTCTCAGAGGGGAAGCACAGTATGAGATACGATTTTTAAGAAAGGTAACAGAGGATTCTGTTCTGCACAGCAGACTACTTGATCATCCTAATACAAAGAGGAATAGGTAAAATTCTGTGCTGTTGGCTACCTTTTGCGCTCAGCACCCTTAGCTGCATTCCACCTGGTTCCATGGCCTCATCCAGATCAGACATTACATCAGACATTGATTTGTTTTACCTTTCCTCAGAGCTTCTTACAGCCAGACAAGTTGCTGTGTACTTGGCACCACAGAGCATCTTTGTAGTTCTCCACCCTCCTCCCCAGTTTAATAGTAGATATGCATCACCAGATGCAATTGTGGCACAGCGCTGGGCACCACCTGGCAGCAGCTGGTCAGACCAGACCTTCCCCCTTGCATCCTTCATGCTCCTGTGCCAAATCGGGTGCTTTCAGCTTGCAGATTGGATGCAAAGGGGGATGCTACTACTTGAACTGGGAAATGTTTTCCCAGGCCATGAGAAAATATGATTTTGTTTTTAATTTCTTAATATTGTGATATATTCCTCTGCTTTGCTGGACTCTGCACTGCAGATCTATGAAATCCATTGCAGTATTGACCTTGATGTGATCCAACATGCTCCAGCCAGGAGGAATAGCTACCCTCAGAAACGTTAGTTTCTGTGGCTTGCAGTGTTTGACTGCTGTAGGAAATAAAGTCATTGTTGCTGCAGAATATTTGCTTACTGAATAAAGGAAATTAAGGCAATGGAGAGAAGAAATCCCACTGTGCTTTAATAATCCCATGGCTCAGAAAAGCCGCCTAGATCTCGTGATTAAAATACTGATGAGCCTAGTGAATTAATGCTGTGATAGTGCAGCATTGCCTTTGAGCAGTTAGCTTGACTGCTGGGTCTGGTGTATTTACAATGGGCTGATCCCAGACTTACAAAGGAAACTGAATTCCCTGGGGCAGCATGTGCATGTGATGCCAAATGGACTGAAAAAAACTGACTGGACCTGGGGAGACGCACAGGGCTCTTATTTACTTCTCCAGGTATGAGAAGTTTGTAGCCAGTATGATCAGTAGGGCTCCTGTTGGCCAGCATCCATTGCTATCTGTTATGAAGACAGATATGGAAAAAGCTTCAGAACAAGCAAAACTTGAATCGACACCAGCCTGGAGCCTGTATTGGTGTCTCCAGCGAACCA